GTTTTTTCGTTTTTCGCAAATAACTCGTTAAATATTAATGCTAGCAAAGAATTTTTACATGGAAATTGTAGATCTCGTCGTCCTCTACAAAATGGTCCTATACATGCCCTCCTACGTCCATCCGTTTGGGAGTTATTGGCAAAAAACGAAAATTTCGCGAAATCTGAAGGGGTACCCCTTGGAAAAATCTCGGAAAAATCGAAAATTTTTTTTTGTTGTTTATTATTAGCAATGTTTCTCCGACGTCTGATTCCTTTTTAAAAAATGCGTTTCTAATGTGCATAAACTTAGGATTGACTGTATAGCCAATACATCCTTAATATATAGGGTATTTAAAGAACCATTCAGTTTTACTGGACCCTATACGTGTACGTTTCCAATCACTTTCTGTTTTCTTACCGCGAGGTTGCGGAGGAATTATTAATGATACGCTAGAATTACAGAGAGGTATTACGAGAAGTATTCATTGTAATTAATTATTATCGACGCTGTGAACGTTCTGCGTCGGATGTTCAACGAGATCGCTTGATTAAACGTAGCAATAAAATATTTTAAACGATGCAGCCTGTTAGCAGCGTGTTCGAATGATTTCCTTCGGCGTGGCTCGTACCGAATTTGTAATCTTTATTTATTCGACCGGCTTGTATCGTCAAGTAGAAGTATGCCGACGACGAGTATACGTATAACGATGTACGTTTGAACGATATCGTGCTGCCATGTACAAATAATTAAGACTAGCTGGGACTGCGTAATGCTGTGCTGTAAAAAAATGTGCTATGAACTTTACTTTTAATGCGCGCCGTACCGTTTATGTCCATCCGATTAATTGATCGTTCGTCAGCGATCTGCCTGTTTCCGACGACGATCATGTGTACGCGGATGAGCGGAAGCTAAGCTGTATCTCGGCCTATTCGAAGCGCAATTCCTACTAGCGCTAATAGCACAAAGATGACACCTGAAAACCGATTGTCGTTGATTGATCGATTAAGCGTGGTTTCAATTCAGAGCATATCATGACCGGATGTTCGCGAAAACCATGATTCTGAAACATAGATCTCTATCATCTTTTGCTCGGTCCGGGCGCTAACACTTGTGCTGTTCTTTCGTTCTGTATATAATGTATCTTTTAAGACGTTTTTTCGACCAGCAGTTGAGTTTTCACGGTTCTCTGAATCTCAGCGTCTGACCGATCGGACGGTGCTGATTGTGAGAGGTCAGAGGCCGGCGCAGGTAGTGAAACTGTAATTGCGCGCGAAAGGAACATACGTGATGATGAAGTCCAAATCGATGTAGCGGCGATCCATGAGAAGAGAAAGGGTTTCATGTTTTTGTATGTTTCAAGAAAAAATAAAATATAAGACATGACGAAACCAGTTTTCAACGGTGAACAATCTCGACTCTGATTACACAAAGGTAATCTGCTTATGACATAAGAACGATACCTGGGGCTTTAACGAACATATAGAGATAGATCATCCTGTTATATACCTCGCGACTCACAGTATGCAACAATTCTAGGCGTTCGAACCGTCTTGATTTCGTCTTGAGAACGAATCGTCTCTTCGTGAAGCGGATATCGGTAAACCTCGGATCCGTGAAAGGATGCGAGACAATAATGAGGTATGCGAGCAATTTTAGTTTTACCTCGGCTTCCTTCATTAACGTATCCGAGCACGAAAGTTTACGGTACATTCCTACAATGTTCGTCCAATACAAATCTGAAACCATCGTTAGAATCATTTTCTATCTGGGTATTTCGTACATAATCGTGGACTTTTGATTTACCTACATTCCAATGAACAGTACACATGGGTGCATACGTTCAACTTATTCCCGGAACGGCTAATTTTCAGTTCCACGGGTCAACGTACCGTTACTTAGATATTTCACATTCATTGTAAAATACTTGATATTCTTATTACTGATTGGAAATGCGACTGCACCTTTTGATGATAGTTTTATACATATGTACGATAACGTGATGACGTTAGATCATCAAGATTCTCATGTAATAGACGTTAGACAATTAACGTAATAGCTGGATAGTCATAGTCGGCGAACGTAATTGTAGAAAATTACTGGCTGTCATCTAACGGCTCCTTACAGATCCAGTCCAGTGAACCGCGGTTCCTTCATCGTTTATTGTACATCGTCCACGTCGAGGATGTACCAGCAGTTTGATGACAATGCTCAAAATGATACGTATCACGATATGATATATAAATTATTCATATACTCTTAAAAAGAAAATCTGAAATGTTAAGTAATGCCGTTAGCCAGTTTAATTACAGAAGACTTTTTCACAAGAGGAGACGCTCGTGGTCGCTGAGGACTAGCAAAAACACCGTTCGCCATACGAGTTTCCTTTTAATGACAAAGAAGCGGAAAGAAGGGATTCGACACGGTCGGCAGACGCAAAAGAAATCAGGTTTCTAGGACAATGTCCTTTTTCCAAAATCGTCTCAAATGCTACTTTTGATCTCCGATGATCTTCTTCGTGAAATTAAAAAACTGACTGGCTGTCACCTGTCTCTACTGAACTGGTTTACTGTTCTATTTTCGTCTATCTGACGAATCACGCGAAATAATCATATGTATCCATCCATCATCTCTGCGTAAAATGCGTACGAATCGAGAATACGGGTTCCTCAATGATTTTTCTAAACTGTCACATACACGGAAACTTGATTGTCCAGATATGGTCTCGGCACCATCGAGTGTCCCTGGAACTATCAGTCCTGACTGAAGAAGCTTATTCGTAACGGGACAACGAAAGTTTCGAATTGAACGATCAAAGGAATACAAGTCTCAAATCAGAAATCCTGTAATACATGTAAGCCCGTAACTGGGAATGTACCGGAACGTATAGCAAGTTTCGTAGATTTCTTAATGGATGTTCTTGCACGTACGAGGAAGAGAATTCCTCGAATTACTTGGTGGGGAACGAGTTGGCCGAGGATACTCCTGCAGTCCATCCCCGCTAGTACAATTGTGAACATGCCAACCGCAAGTGTTCATTACGTACACGTGTCATCGGTCAGTTCTTTTTGTACTGAATAAAACGTAGAAGAGAGCGGGAAGTTTCACGGTGGATTGCAAGTACGATTTGTAATCGAGATATGGGAAAATCATTGGGAAGAAGAATGCTTCTGTTGATCATTCGATGTGCTCCGTTGGAAGATTGAGATGTATGAAAGGACTATGATGGAAAGGATGAAGTTGATCTATCTGACTCTGGTATTTTTGAACCCTGTTAGAAATGTGAGGGGAAACAGTGAGTCGAGTGAAGAGTATCTACAGAAGGCGATATATCAGCTTCAAGAATTTAACGTTCCATCCTCTGTAAACGTTTATAATCGACTGCCATCGAGTCATGATCATGGAAACGCTTATTACAATAACGATCGACAAAATTATGGTGTTCAGAGGATCAACATGAATCCGCGAAGAAACATGCAGATGTACAAAAATCACAGTTTACCATATTACAATGTATCGCCCAACGAGAGGGTCGGTTTACATCTGATCGACTTGGAGAATTCGCCGAATTATTACGAGGTACTTATTCGTTTCTGAAAAGGAAAAACTATCGTCGAAGCTGTCAGGATTTCAAAGGATCTTTAAATTTTCCAGCCGCCTACTGTTACCAGGGTACAAGAACCGGAAGCGCTTGGTTTCGCGAAAGCGGAGTTAGCGGCTATGTATAAGAATGCCTTAGAAAAAGGATCGCAGATCAGTTTACCGTCTTTGACAAACGCGCTTGCCTCCGGCGAGGTGCCGCAGGTCACCCAGACTCACGTGCAGTTCCCGGTCAAGCAACCCCTGTATCAATATTACTTCTTCCCGTTAAAAACGTTCATGTCAGAGTTTAAAAGAGACCACGGATACAAAACGATTGTAAGTAATAATACTCTTCAAATAAAAAATATAGTACCGTTCATTTTGTTTTTAACAACACGTTCCTTTCGTTTGTAGCCTGCACCTACGTTCGACAATACGGCAGCCGCACACACCACCCACTCGCAGTTATCGAGTCCGCTTTTCGTAGCTATAAGCACGTTCATCACTACGGCGATCATGTTCATGATGAGCATACTCTTCCTGCCGAAGCTCATTCCGTTCGATATACTGCAAGCGCGAAACATTCAGGACGACTTCTTTTATCTGTCGAACATTATCGCGAATGCTATCGAGCGTTCTAGGTTCTTAGATAAATTCGTGGACTCTGGTAGGTAGGATTGAGACATGTATAACAATTATGTCAATCCGATTTGAACCAACGTCGAAACGTGTACATACTATCAATGATCAAGACAGAACATATTTATAACACGTATTTAATTACATCGTTTCTCATTAGATAGACAAATTTTTTAACAAAAACAACATTCAGCTGAACAAAACAATTATTCTTATTCGATAACATTATATATATTCTACCTTTATTCTTAAAAAAGTGTTACGTTTTACAATTGTCCTCGTTTTTGTACATAAATATCGGTAAAATTGTACGATATTAGAACTAGAGATATGCCCGAAATGATACGAAGTTAAAGCATCTACGGATATTGTGCATCTCTTTAACTCTAGTTATGGTAAAGAAAATATGGGACGAGTCATTTTGTGCGTCATATTATTTTGGGGAATGTACGCGTACGTAGTGACTACATTCAACAATTATTATCTATACCTCTAGCAGGTTAGGTACCTTTTCGAACTTCGCTATACGTACATGTATTTCTATGCATTGTAAAAGTATAGCTGTATAAATTTTACGGTCTGTACAGTACGAAGTATAGAAAGGAAGGCACGTACTTTTGGAGTAATACCTGTAAGCTCATTACTCATTTTACATCCTATCTACGTTTCCTTTTGTGCTCGATCAGTCTGTCCGATTGGCAGTGGAAAGAGACGTTTGTTCCGCTGCTTTCCGCTTTAATACTTGACGCTGGTGCTCGTACTCGAAATCTTCCTCGGTTAAATTTAATTTTCGTATCTGAAACAGTCGATTTCGTTCGATACTAAAATCAATTATGCGGAAGAACTAAGTATTCTACCTGATAAATTAAAGTTTCCTCTTCCATAATGTGTTGAGGAGGATTTCTTAATACTTGAAGAGTTTCGTAAACGGTCGGGCAACGTTTAACGAGGGACGCGCGACCTAAGCTGCCTTTCAGCATTACTAGACCCACTTTGAAGATAATTTTAACACCCTCACAGAGAAACATGTCCCACACTCGTAGTATACTCTCCCACGGCAGTGTCCGCGTGTAAACGCACAAGAACCATTCGGTCATGTATAAAATCGGTTCGATCTTTTGCTTCTTCTGAAAAACAATGTACACGTTTCAATTTTCGACTCTGTACGAAAAGAAAGAAAAATCGATTGACGCTAACCAAGTGTTTATAAGCGATGGGAGATACTCTCTTCAGGAGAGCAAATAAAATATCTCCATCGCGCAGTAACGTTTCCATGCCCTGGCTGTAATACCCGACTAAATACTTATCGCAAATAGCGACGAGGCACCAAAACGCTTGTACTGCCGGCATATGCATCAGCAAAAATGCCGCAATCGGTGCTTGCGCTTGGCAATAACCAACTTTGCTGTTTAAAATGGAATACGCCTTCAACACTTTGAACAGTTCTTCCTGTCCAGGGGCTTCTCCCATGAACATTATATGATGAGGAAATTGACGATGAAGATCCTTCTTAATATCGTCTATGTACTTTGGGTCACCAGATCGTTCCATCAATTCCTCGAACAAGTTTGGGTTCGTATCCATCAGCAGCTGGCCTCCGCAGAGGTTCAGCCATGCGCGAAGCCTTACAGAAGGCGGAATTCCCTTCCTGCATCTCTCCCTTACTTTGCGATAGTTTGTGTTCATAAAATAGCTCCAATTGTTTAACATCTGTATCCATTTCCGTTCTCTTCTCAGCATTACCTCTGGTGGTATTCCTTGTTTACTGAGGCTATAAGATTTTAGTACGTCGGTTGTACAATAAATATATACATATATAATATTAAAAATTGTATTATTCCCTTTTTATATTACCTGTCGGTGCTACAATTAGAATCTTGAAGGAAACCATGTTTATCGACTCTAGATCCTTCGAACTTGTCACTCTCGGTTTCTGTATCCCCATTATGTGATCCTGAGGACGCCATAGCATTTTTCTAATTGTCTAGTGTAAAATATAGAGTAAGTTAGAAGATCCACGTTTCTCTCATGAACATAATAAATGTTTTGACCGAGCAACGATCTCGTTTCTCGATCTCATTTTCTCAACTTCAAACGTATGCAATTGATACACTCGATTTTTATCCACGATTAAATGTATAATTCTAACAAACGATAATACGTATTTGTAAACTATGAATTTAAAAGGTTTCAAATGAACGTGTCATTAGATGCGTGTGTATATACTGACGACTGACACTGACATTTGATTTTTTATTCTCAACTGCACAGTGTGTGCAACTCGTACGTGTATCAAATTGACAATATTCGTAGACAAAAGTAACGTTAATCGGCATACTTTGTAATCACGAATTTCGTGTCGAGTTGTTTAGGATGTCGGCACAAGATAAAGAAGTTCGGAGGATGTGCTTTATAATTGACAGTTGACAGTTCAGCACTGGTCAATCCCAGAGAAGCAGCTCAATAGCGTGATAATAAAGATATCAATGTCTGATACGTCACGCGATAAGGCACTGGTGTGTAACGCCCAAAAAGTTCGTGAAACGAATTACAATCGTTTGTACGCGTCGGGGGAATAAATATCTTGTTTCTCAGTTTGATGACTGTCGTGTACAGTCGCACGATTATTTACTTTTACATTATCACGTATCAACGAGTGGGCGAACCATGTGAATTGATTACACCTACCATCGATGATGAACAAATACGTGATTTATCAAGCCCCGAAAGAATATTACACCGTGCATCTATGCTGAATCTCTCGTAGGCGACCACGGGCAATTGTGGCTTCTATTCTGTCTCTGTATATACTATGTATTAAAACAACAGGAATTTCAACCGCAGCGCCGTCCGTTGAGGAATAGCGAAATTTAGGTTTCACTTACAGAAGACACGAGGAATTGTCCATTATCATTTTCTGTTTTAAAAATGTTATTATCTCGTACCTTGCATTCTATAGCAATTAGAATTGGACAAATTATCACGATATTATATAGAGACACTGTAACGCGCGAGACAGCTAGACGCCACACATATATATGCCAGCATTATAGTTTAAATCTGAATTCCAGTATATCATTGTCTCTTATTAAAACGTTCCTCTCTCAGCATTCTAAATTAGGTACAATTACTCCGCTCAGGCTGACATTCGGCTGCAATTCCAGTGTTCGGTCATTACATAAAGTCGGTTCAACCCTCGAAGCTCGAGAGACTCTCAGATGGATCTTTCTTGAAGATCTCTCAAGTTTCGCACAATTCCGAACATGAAACAGTAGAAACGAAGTTGATACGAATTCTATTTATCATGGACAAAACCTCTTAATGAAACTTGAGAGGCACTTGAACAGATCCTCTGTAAAAGTTTTTAAATCAAAATCGGGATGCAATACGACCAGATACAACATCTTCACGCGACCGTAATCATTCTGTCTATGAAACGAGAGAGAGAGGAATAATGGGAGGTAGGAAATAAAGTGTGGGAGAGACACAAAATGGTATAAAAACTGTATTTATAAGTGCACGTCTTATCTTTTCAATGCTCGATCAGGCGTTTATAGAATTGTGGTCGATACTGTTTGACACGTCAAAATAAAAACAATTTTAACCTACGTCTGGATAAATAGTTACTGATGTAATTTTATTTTGAAATTGAATGTAAAGGGAATGTGAAAATACAGGAATGGTGTAAATTATAAAAATAATGAACGTTATTCGTTCATTGTATCA